AGAAAAAGAGAGAGAGAGAGAGAGAGAGAGAGAGAGAGAGAGAGAGAGAGAGAGAGAGAGAGAGAGGGAGAGAGAGAGAAGAGAGGAAGGAAGGAAGGAAGGAAGGAAGGAAGGAGAGAGAGAGAGAAGAGAGAGAGAGAGAGAGAGAGAGAGAGAGAGAGAGAGAGAGAGAGAGAGAAGAGAGAGAGAGAGAGAGAGAGAGAGAGAGTGAGAGTGAGTAGTGAGTGAGTGAGTGAGTGAGTGAGTGAGGGAGTGTGAGACAGGGAGAAGGGAGAGAGAAGAGGATAGGCAAGCGGCGGGACAGGATGAGGAAAAGGGTTACGGCGGTTGGCGCAAGAAGCCCAAAGCATGGATGACTCATAGAGGCGCGGCGTTCAAAGGAAATTGCCCCCCCCCCTCCGCCTCATTACCCCTCATTTCAGCGTATTGTTTAATTTGTGTCTTGGACTCTTTGGCCGTCCAACCCCCCACCCCTAAGGCACTGCATCTCCCCTGCCATGAGGGCAAGATTCTCATGTCACGCCCGTACAGTGGAGTTCATGGCTGGCGGCCGCTGCTCCGCTTGACATTCCTCTGGCGTTGCGGGCGTTCGGTTCCCTCCTCGCCGCCCTCACGCCGCCGTTCCAGCCATGCACCTGATCCCCTCCCTCCCCCGGGTCGGCCCCGATCGGAGCAACGCTGGCTGGGTCCTCCGGCAGTCTCGCGTGCGGTCCTGCAGCGAGCCCTTCGTTGATCCGTGGAGACGCATACATGTTTGATGTTTAATGCTTTAAACAAATAAATCTGCTCGAGTCTAAGGTCACACGCATAAAGGCAGCTCGTCATCTGCAGCTTCACCTTGGTTTCTCGGTTGGCGGGGCGAGCCGTGGGTGGCGGGAAGGCTGCTCTCAGGTGACAGCGGGAAGGAGTGGGCACTGTCGTGGTGCCTGTGGGCCGTCATGTCCCTGGAGGAGGATGCCGTCGGATGCGAGCGGCGGTCCGAGCGAGGCCAGTTGTTAGAGACCCTTAGAGCCAAATTAAGGCTCTGGGAAAAAAGAGAATGAATGAAGTAAAATGTTGCGCGGCCGGGCTCCTTGTGGCGAGGGATCCTTGGCGGTGTTCTTGGGGGACGCGTGACGCAACGCTCGTTGGGCGTCGCCGCGCAGAAACTTGTCATGGGAAGGAATGAGGAAACCTGGAAGGTAAGCTCCTGTCCTCCGGGGCCTGGCAGAGCTTAGGAAGGAGGGCTGGGTGGCCGAAAGGTCATCCATGCAGGGGCGAGGGAGGGGGGGGGGACGTCACCTGGCGATGGGTGGAACTGTTCCACACAATGGGAAAGCTGTTTCCCCGCCGCCGCCACTCCCCTGCCGCCGTTGATGCGCATCTTGCCGCCAGATTCCAGGCTGCGGGCGTGCTGCGGGCTGTGCAGAGGATGCCCAAGGCAGTGCATGCCACATCCCGCCCGGGCGTCGCGCTCTCTGCGAGTCGCAGCCCGAGCGAACGTGGTGGTAAATGGCTTGAGAAACAGAACCAACATGGCGGGAGTCCTCGCCTGGCCTTGCAGCACTCCGCTGCCTCTGCGGTGCTGCCGCCGCTGCTCGCCGTCCCTCCTCTCGGGGCATCCCGAGCCATCGAGGGCGCTGTGGGCGGTATGATGGGAGGAATTCTTGATAGGAAGCTGTGTGCGTTTGTCTTAGGCTGGAGGAAGTGACGGTGGCAGAGTGAATGTAGTGGGAGAGTGAGCGTAGCGGCGGCCCGGGGCGATCCTCCCGCCATCTGGTGGTGGTGAACCACGGTAACTTGAGAGTCCGCCGAGGGATGACGTCACCCGCAGGATCTCACAACAGCGCCATTTTAACAACTTGCCGTTCGTGTTTTGCGGGTTGTTTACGCGGTATGGAGGCGCCCCGCCAGCGGTGCCGCGGGTAGGTGCTGGCGAAGGCGCTGGGCTGCTGGCCGGTCGCAACGGCCACGGGGCACGGGTGAAGGACCCGCGGTGTGTGTGCATTGTCCCACGAGAGTGCAAGTTGCCTGGCCTCGCCTCCCGGGTAGAGCAGGACTGTAGGAGTGTGATGTGGCGGCGTTCGCGTGTGGTGCGGAGCCCATCCGACCGCCGTCTCGCAGTTGTGAGGCCCTTGTGATCGTGACGTTTCGGTCGCGTGTTGTGCGCGCCGCCGCCCAGCTCACCTTACCCAGATGCCCGACGCATGCCACTTTTTACCTGAGTGGTATTGTTCACTTGAGCTCCATGACGCAACCGTGGCGAGGGCGGCGTGAGCTGCCCTTCGAGTTGTGAGCAATAGCGGCTCGCAGCGCCAGTCACAACCGCTTGTCCGTGTGTTTTCTCTTCATGGCAACCAAACACACAAAGCCAAGAAAACGGATGTGTAAAGATAATGGTGTTGGCTTTGAAACGTGAGGAAAATGTGACAGCGATTACTCCAGTGGTGTACAGCGCCAGGATAGCGGGTGATGTACCATATGTCGTCTGTGTTCTGTGTGTTTGAGTGTGTTTTGTGTGCTGCAGTGTCTTCGGCGTGTATTATGAAACCCATTGATAAGAGAATACGAAAAGCATTGCAATGAATAGGAAAATGAAGTGTCGAACACAAAATTGAAACGGTGCCTTTGGTATGGCGGAAGCCATCGCCGGAAACTGTCACAGGAAGCCCTGTTAGTTTTCTGGTGCTATTGTTATAGGATTTAGTGAACAAAGCAAGCTATGATATAGTGCAATCTAGTCCTGTGCTCCTTCCGACGTCATGAAGAAAGGCAAGGACAGCCTCGCGGGCGGCGGCGCCAGCGACGGCGTTACCCTGCGGCGGCCGCTGGGGACTGCTACGCCCGCACCCACCACGCCCTCGCCCTACAGCTTCATGCGGCGCAGCTGCACCTTCGTCGCCGAGAGCAGCCTCGGTCTGCGGAAATCTGCCCTGCGAACATCCCTGACGAACCATGGCAGCAGCGCCCGCACGCCCGCTCCTGCTGTCAACAAAGTGGTTAAGGACAGGAAGAACCTAGCCATGCAGGTGCGGCAGAAGAAGGAGCTCCTGGAGGAGAGTGCCAACGGTCACACTGAGAGCGACAACGTGACCGGAAGGGGCGGGGGCGGCAGTGGGCGCGTTTCCAGGCTCGTGGGCGGGCTGCGGGCGTGGAGCAGCACCGAGGACGTGCGCCAGAGCGTCATGGGGGCCATCGGCCGCACTGTATCTGTTTCACGGCGCGTCAAGCAGGCCTTCTCGCGCCCTGACAACTCCAAGCCCGACACCGCCAAAGCCCAGTCAACCAAAGCCAACCAAGCCAAAGCCAACGCCGATACAACCAAAGCCAAGTCCTCGAACGTCAATGGCACCAAAGCCCAAAGGCCAGTCAACCAAACCCGCAGACACTGCATTTATAAGGAAGAAACAGGCGGAGAAGGCCAAGCCTTCGAAGCCGCTGCCTGGAAAGTTGCAGGTAGAGAAGCCGGAAGCGGGGCGCCCCAAGTCGTCGCCCTCGGCGAGTTCGGCGGCAGGAACCGCCGCCACTAATTCACGGTAAGTTTCCTTCCCCTGTGGCGTCTGCTTCTTCGCCGCCTGCGTGTACCCTGTGTGGGCCTCGCGCAGTCTCAAGGGGCGCGGCCATAGATGGCCGTTTGTGCCGCTGTTTACTCAGGGAAAGCGAAGTGAATCACGAGCAGGAGAATCGTCTGTTGTGGACGCGAAGGGAGGGAGAGCTGGGACAGAGTCCGTCTGTGATACCTGAAGGAGCCCTTGATGGCAGCGCCGTGAAATGACCTGAAGGGACGCCTGTTGCGCGCGGCGCACTGGTGGGGGACGCAGGGGTGGGAGTGGGAGTGGAAGGGGACGAATGGATAAACGTCAAGAGAAAGGTGAAGAAAGAGAACAGAAAAGGAGGAAGTGAATGGTGGATACATGTGATCAGGGAAAGGGAACGGGAAATTTTAATTCGGGGCGAGTTCAGGGATCGAGGGCGGAAGGAATGGCACGGGGGGGTGGGGTGGGTGGGGGCGAAGTCCTCCTTAGCTCTGCTTCTTCCCTGTCAGAGAGGGTGTCGATTTAGGTTGTGTGTTTATAAATACGCATGATTCATGCAGCCTTTCCTCTATGAAGCCATAAGTTGAGAGCATCCCGCCCCGAATTAGCGAACTCACTGGGTTATTAAGTCCAGCAATTGCAGGGAGTGCACGTTTTCAGGACGCCTTTATGCACCGATTGTGGACGGTGCCTCTTGCTCTGGCGTCCTCGACAGTGCCCTCCTCTTGCAATCTGCAAGTCGTGTGGGTTGCGCGTCGCCTACCTTCGTGCCTCCCACTTCATCGAGGCAGATCAGTGGAGGAAAGAAAATGTGATACGGAGGTTAAACGAGATGAAGTTGTCTTAAAGTCAAAGCTAATGCATTATTTTAGAATTAAATTTGATAAATTACTTATGGGATGATAAAGGCTTGTAAAGACAATATGCTAAATATAGCCGAAGACCCAGCTAATGCAGAGACTCATGTCGTCACATAATCTGCGGTACGAAGCCTGTATTTATCTTGGACGAAATAATTCTTATATTGGTTACAAAATATATCCCCAAAGTTATCTGCGAAATGACATCAGCTTAGAGAGAAACTGTAAAGGGCGCCATACCCAGTGTGTATGTACTTGACTAGTCCTGCCAGCGAGTCACAGTGACATGCGGGAAGGGACAGACGCTGCACTCCGCGGCGTGTGCGTTTTGCTTTATCCAGAGAGGATTTACGCGACGCCAGATAAACATAAACATTTTATTGGGTAAATAACTTTTGCAGCGTAGATAAATCGATCAAAACGAGCTGTCATTTGGACTCATTTATCATGCACTGTTATGGCTGCGCATGCGCCGAGGCCATGATTCCCCTCATGACGCCGTGGTAAGCGATGCGCCACCTGTCGCCGGGGGTCAGAGGAGCAGCTCCTTCCGGAGTCGGTCTCGGATTGGCGCTTTTTGCATCAAAGGCTGCCACGCGTTTTTGTCGGTCGGCTTCCATCATCACCGCCATCATCATCATTAATTAATTAATAATTAATCATAATTGTCATCATCACCATTGTCATCATGATCACCACCATCAATCATCACCACCACCATCAGTCATCACCACTACTACCACAACCGTCATCATCACCACCATAACCATCATCACCGCTAGCATCATCACCATCGTGATCATCTCTACCACCACCACCATTATCTTCATCATTATTTTCACATCCTTAATCTTAATATACCGCTCTCTTTTCTCCAGTCCTTATCAGTGCCCACCCGTACGCGTCTCCCTCCCCTCCCCACCCCCTCTCGCCATTCGTCTCCCGCTCCCCCGCCCCTTCCTGTCACCTTCTTTTCTCCATCTCTTTTTTTGATATCCTCCCTCCTCTCTTCCATCCCTTCTCCTCTCCTCTCTCCTCTCTCCTCCCCGTCTTAAGGGAACGCTTCTCTGACATAAACACTTCCTAGCTTGTGATAAATTCAGCCGCGAGCCCTCGCTCTCCTCCTTGAGAAGCGTGAATCAGTGACTGGCTCGGTGAGCGAGAGACGTTTTGCGGGATGGCGTGTGATTTCGAGGAGCCTGTGACACCGAGATTTCATTAGAACGATTTGATGAAGATGGATGAGGCGCGTCTCGGTGGAGTTGCTCATCCTCGCCCGCGCCTTTCCTGCGGCTGTCACGGTGCAGTGTTCGCGGCCCCGGCCTGTGCGCGAGAATGGATCCGTGTCCCCGGCTTGAGTCGGCTTTCGACTGCTCTATTGTCTGCCCTTCCCGGAGGGCGTCTTAGCCAATGGATTGCGTTGCCTTTAAACTGCGGTTTGTGCATTCCCGTGCCCGGTATGACTCGCGATTCCGCAGCGACATTTCTCGGCGTGGTTCGTACACGCCTACGTCGTCATCCTTTCGCTGCGCCGGATTCCACAGCAAGTCTTCCTTCCCCAACACCTGCATCAGCCGCTTACCCCTTCCATCCCAACCCTCCCCTCCTTCTCTCCTTTCCCCTCCCCTACCATTCCATTCCCTCCGCTCCCCTCCCTCCCTCCCCCTCCCTTCTCTCCTTCCCTTCCCTATTCTACCCACCTGAATCCTCACCTAGGCACCCACTTACCACATCCCATCTCTTCCCCTCTTCTCCCACTCAACCACTTATTCTTTGCTATCCCAATACCCCCTCTCCTCCCTCACTTTCTTCTCCTTCCTCCCTCCCCAGCCCACATCTCCCCTGCCCACCGTACCCCACCTAACGCACCTAATTGCCCAGTCCTTCCCCTCCCCTCCCTACATCGGCCTTCCCCCACCCCAGCTCCGCACATGACTGGGACTGTTGTCGAAGTTGCTTCCCCTGGGCACGGGCGGCGGTGACGAAGGTGCACCTGGGGAAGAAGGTGGCATTGACAGGGGAGGTGGCGGTGCCGCGTGGCTCGGCTGGGGCGGGCAGGCGGTGCTCGGGGCCCGGCAGTAGTGTGTGAAGCGTCCCCGCGCGAGGAAGGCTCCCGCTGAGGCATCGCCAGCGCCGCCGGTACTTCGCTCCCTCGCTCATGGCGGCGCTCCCCCGATGTTGATCTTTAAGTCCGCGCCGCGGCCCTGGCCGTCACAGGGAGGAGTTAAAGCCTCACGCTCCCAAGTCGCGCGATGCATTGCCGAGGCGACGTCGCTGCAAGGGGCTGATCAGACAGCCTGCGTCGTCAGGTTCATGCACGCGTCGTCGCGATTGTTCGCTGCTCGCCCCGCCGGCGGCCGTGGCGGGAACGATCCTCCGCGGCGGCAGACAAGCCACAGGATATGGCCAATATCGTGGGCAGTGTCAGGGCGGATGGCAGGCGGCAGGTGCCATACACGGGCGGAGGGCAGAGGCAGGGGTGCGCGTGAGGGAGCGCTCAGGTAGGATGCCACCTGGACCGCCCCGCCACCGCCAGCATTGCCATGGCGACGGCGGCCCTGCCTCGCCTCGCCATTGTGACGCTTTTTACATATCTTGCGAGTGATGTGATCCAGTATTGATGTTTCTAATGAACTGAAACCGGGAAATGCGGGACGGAATTGGCCGGCGAACAAGCGGCTCGTGGCGCGGCTGTGGCAGGAGATTGATCTGGCTCCCATTAGTGGCAGGCCGCTCTCGGGGCGGCCAGGGGCTGTGGGCGGCGGGCAGGGACAGGACGGAAGCTGCGGGGCCTTGCGGGGCACCTCTGGGCGATCACGGGGAGGCTGGACATGCCACCGAAATATTCGTGTTCGTTCTGAGTTCTTAAGCTTACTGACAATAAGAGAAAATTAGAATGTGTTGTGTAACTCCACATTATATGTTGTGATGGAATTGCTAAATCCGTCACTGTATGCAGATGAGTAGACCGCTGGATCCTTCAATAGAAAATAATATCTGTTTCCTGAATCCCGAGGAATACAGAAGAAACATCGATTTTGAGTGAAAGCTGCCAACAGGTGGGCGATCGAGTGCGCGGCGTGTTGTTAAAAAGGGATCGATGTTCGCCTTCGCTAGACAAGCGTAGACGCGAAAATGGTCATGGGCGATGGGCACCGACGGAAAAGTAGAAAGGGACGGAGGACGGCCGACTCTCAGGTGCCGGGACGAGTGGGGCCTGCTCTGGCCGGCTGTCCTCCAGGCTGCGCTGCAGTCGTTCCCTGGGCATTCGGAAAAGCTGGGAAAGATGGGCAGAGGTGCAGGTACACGCCCTTCGAATTCAGGCGTCTCGGTCCGTGTGTCTGTGCGTGTGGGTAGGTGTGCTTGCATCCTTGGGGGTTGGATAGCTGGATGAATAAATGTATATGAATGAATGTGTACTCATGTGTTCAGCGCGCCCTGATGACAGCTTATGCGCCAGGTGACTTTCTTGTCGAGATTCCCTGCCAAAGGTCACGGGGCACTCCATCAGGTAAAGACGGCGATCCGAGGCTGCGGTGCCTACAAGGCTGGTTCTCGCAGCGCGGGCGGCCGGCGGAGGGACGCGCCCGATAAAGAATAGCGATGGCGATGCTGCTTGGAGGAGGCCGCCATGGCCCGGGTGGTCGGGCGCCAAGGAGCCCGAAAAGAAAGCGCGAGTCACGGCCGCCGAGTGACAAGGCCAGAATGTATCACCGGATTTATGAAGCGGTTCTGCAGGGTCGCCTCGCCTCCGGGGGAGTGGGAGCTGCGGGAGGGGGAGGGCGAGAGGGGGAGAGGATTGTTTTGAACTGCTCCAGACGGATCAAAACAGAATTTGCATTCAGATGGGAAAGCAGGAGGACGCGTCTTTCGTGGCCTCGGGTTTCACGGGTAAATGGCGAGGCGGTTGACATTTGAAGATCACGGCGACAAAGGGGACGGGAGTGAAGTAAAGCGGTGGGGGGTGGTGGTTACGCATGGCAGTAGCTGGGTGTTGGGAAAGCACAGCGTGTGAATAGGGAGTGGGGAGAAAAAACGAAAGGAAAGGGAATGGGAAAGATACTGTATACACTCATAAGAGATTCATTGTCCTGGGGATAATTTAATTTTTTGGCATCAGGTGTTCTTTTTTTATTCATTCTCGCTCTTTATCATTTTAGCATGGCCAAAGGAAACGAGCTCCTTGGGTATGTTTGTCCTACATGACGAGGGCGGTTGTCGCCGGTCAAGGGAAACGCGTTTTCACGAATAATGATGACCTTCCCCAGCCGGCAGCTCTGCTCATTCTTTGCTAATGCCGGAGAGATAAACTGAGTTATTTTTGTAATTTTTGTTATGATTTCTATTCAGCGGAGCAAGGGGAGGGGTTAGGAGTACCTGAGTGAAATCTGTTCTTGATTCTCGAAACAAGTTCTCCCAGGTGTCTTTTATCCGCCTGACTAGATCTGTTCTGTTTTAAACTTGCGCAAAGCAGTTCGAGATGTTTACTCAATAAATGTCCGTCAGAGGCAGCTTGGCACACCAGCCCTATAGCTGGGCTCTCTGCCTGCGAGTTGATGAACATATTTAATCCTTCATCTGTTTAGATTGTGTGGAAGGTATCCTTGCATTAGTCATAACTATAAAAGGTGCAAAATTATTATCCTTGATCGAAAGGAAGTTCCAAGGCACGTGAGATTCTAGTAACCGCATGACGTCTAGAATCGCCATTAGCATCTGTACGCGAGGATATTTGCCGCGAGGCTAATGTTCAGCTGTGATTCGTGCGTGTGTCTGAGCGAGGAGCAGTGACGAGTTGACAGGTTTGGTGAGTGTGTGGTGGTTGGCACAGTTCCGGAGGGAGGGCGAGCGTGCGGGCGGAGAGCGTTGGTAGTAGGTCGCCAGCGTTAGGGAGTGGCGCGCGTGTTGTCCCCAAGTGCGTGTACCTGGCGTTCGCCGTCGCCACCTCGCCACGCCGCTTTTGGCTGCGTTTGAGGTCGTGTTGTGAGCGAGCGATGTGTGAATCAATAGTGCATAGTTAGCGAGCGTCCCTGATGTAATGGTTGCAAGGTAGACAGACAGGGAGATTTCGGGAGGCGGACACAGATTGCAGGGAGGGCGAGAGGCGCTACAGCTGCCTGCGGAGTTTGCGGCGCCGTGGCACTCTCTAGGCGCCTTAGGGTACTTGGGCATGGTGGCCCTGGCATGTGGCTTTGTAGTCAGGTAGAGTGCAAGTAGTGTGCTCTGTGGAACAGTGTTGGGAAGTGTTACGTTGAACTCTAAATATACACCGGGATTTCATAACGGTATATGGTACATTGTAAACAGGGAGTGTAGGGTGGTGTGATGGAAGACTGCATTGTAGTTGCCAGTAGGAATCAGAGTGGCTGAGGTTGCTGAGAGACACAGTGTGTCGTGAGAGGAAGCGCGCTTCGCAATGGTAGGGAGGCGTGAAGTGTAGTTAGGCGCTCGTGGAACAAAATGCCGCTGCTAACTCGGCTGAAGTCCCCGCCTCGCAGCGCCAGCAAGAGCAGATCGAGTGACGGCGTCAAGAGGTAGGAAGGAGGCCGTGTAGAGTAGTCGTGTGCGCTGTACTTGACGTAGTTACTCTAACATGCATTTTGCCTGGTAGCCTCACCCAGTGGT